CGGCCCCAATCCTAGTGCCGGGGGCGGGACTTCCGGTCCCAGTTCGCTTGCTCCGGAGGCAGGGACTTCCGGTCCCAGTTCGCTCGCGGCGTCAGTCGCTTCCACTCTAAGGGCCACGTCCTTTGAATCGTTTCGCGATGAGACCGAAGCGGTTTCGGCCGGGTCGGTCGATGCGCCGCCGGTTTGGGGCCTCGGCCTTTGCTCTCAGGCCGCTGGCCCGAGGGTTCGTGGGCGCGCGCAGCTCGTGGGCTGGGAGTTGGTGCCCGCTCGCTCGACGGGCCTGGCGGCCGCAAGCACAACACGAGGATGTCGCTGAGCCCCGGGGATGTCGCTGAGCCCGGCAGGCCCCGCCCCGGGGGAAGCCAGCGGCCTTCCACGCGGGGTCTCAACTGCAGACGGCCCCGCTTCCCGTGTGGACCGTTGGTCCTTATTCCCGCTTTCGTGGAATTTGACGACTCGGAACGTGTTAATTCCTAAAATAAGCACAAAATATAACCAGTATCTGATGATTTTTAAAAAACATAAGAGCTGAGTTTGCCAGTTACCGCCTGCACGTCGTCTAGGAGCGCTTCGTGGCCGCCCTGTGGGACGGCGTGGGCTCGGGCCTGAGGCTTCTGCTGGACTCGGGAACCGACGCGGCCGAGCGGCTTCAGCGTGAGCTCCGCGGGCTGCACGCCCCGGACGAGGTAGGACGGCGGGGAACGGAGCGTGGAAAGCTGGTTTTCAGAATACGCTCACTCAACGAATGAGAGGCTTATAAATTTGTGTACTTTAATTTGTGCGAATTATTTTTTGTGGAAAAGGCATCGACGTCCTTGTGGCGTGGTGAGTTGAGTGACCGCAGCCTGTTGTTAACGTCTCACCGGCTCCCGCCCCGGCTGCGTGGGGGGCGCCCAGTCTGCGATGAACCCCGGGCAAGGCGGGGTGGCGGGGACACCTAGTGGCCACTTTCCGCCTGTCCTTTCCCGGCTTGTCTCGTTCAGATACTCAGGAATGGAAACCACCATTTAGTGACCTAGTATCTTGAATTACGCGTTTGCCGGGGGTTCGCATCTGTGATTTCACATCAGATACAGAATCAGTGGAGCTTTGAGTGGCTTCCTGAAATAAGCGTCCTGTCACCGCCGGCAGCCCCCAACCTAAAGCATAGGACCGGCCCTCTTAGAGGTGGCCCATGACAGAAGGCTAGGTGCCACGCTGGAGACCTGTGTTTAAAACCTGGTCTGTCACCTTCCAGCAAGCATTCACCAAGTCCCTCACTGCCCTGACCCCGTCTCTTCCCCTGTCATAGGTGGTAATACCTGTGTCCCGGCTTGGTGGGTGCCAGGGCTGGGGCTGGGGCGGGGGGTGGGGAACAGGCGAGGGTTGGGGGGCGCACACTTCCAGCTGCAGACAAGTACGTCCTGGGGTGTAACGGTGGCATGGTGGCTCTGGTTAGCACTGCCGTGGTGTCTTCGAGAGCTGCTACGGAGTAAGAGCTCTCGTCACAAGGAAAAGACGAACTATTTGGTAGCTGTGTGAGCTGCTGGACATTCACTAGGCTAATTAATTGCTGGTGGTTTCACAATGTATCCAACCGTTAAGTGGTAGACTTTAAGCTAATACAATGTTACACAATACAATAATACAATTATATCTCAGTAAAGCCGGGGGGAAATGCCTCTGTAGAGTTCTCAGCATAATGTTCGCTTGGCAACTTGGTTACCTCACCCCCTTCTCAGGGGAGTGTTGGAGATTTCATTCCTATAAACATTTAAATACAAGACGAATGCTGTTCTCATCACAGACGCCAGAGGGTGTCCATGCTGAATGTGGAACAGGCGTGCGGTTTATTCTGAAAGGCATCCCGATCCGGGGCCTCTGGACATTTAGTTGTCCCAGTGACAGGACGTGGTCCTGGCGACAGGATGCGTCTCCCTCTGACTTCTGGACGAGAGTGTCCTCCCTCCCAGCCCCACAGAGCCCTGGGGCTTCTACACGTCTCAAGAACTCCTCTGTGTAACGAAATGTTTTAACATCGTCCCTAGATCGCCCAGCAGATGAGAGCTAGTGCCATGGCGTTGATCGGGTCTCTCGAAAACATCTTTGCTCAGTGGAAAACAGTAAGAGAAGGTTTTGTTGTGTTTTGTCATTTCGTTGGGTTCGAGGGTAGTTGCGTCGATTCCAGGTTTTCCCCTCAGCTGGGCAGCGCGTCCGAGCTCGTCTGGGTGGAGCACGGGCACCAGCTCTCGGGCCGCGACCTCCCGGCTGTCGTACCTGACCAGGTTGAGTAATGGATGCACATCGATTACCATCGGCGTATTCTGTCTGTCTCTCACCTCTGCTGGTTTACCGTTCGCTTTTGCTTGGAGAGTTATTAGAGGCTAAAAATTTGTGTTGAATAATCAACATGCTCAGAGATTCTAAAATACAAGCGAATTAGACAAATTACTTTATTCTTATGTCACAGGTAAATAGAAAAATATAAACTAGGTTTGTAATCGATTAAAACCATATTGACTAAGCCTAACTGCCGTGGAGCCTACCCTGTAATTTTTAAAATATTAACTTTATTTATACAGAAAAGTTGCAGAGCTCAAGCACAAGAAAACAATTCTGGATACCAGGATCTGAAGAAGATGGTCAATCTCGCCCCACAATTCTTGAAATTAAAACACTGCTTAGAGCAAACTATTCAGATTATTATTGCTGCACTGAGAGGTGTGTATTTGTAGTTAATGGCATTTGTAGTTAATCAGAATTTTATAGCTTAAGGCAGCGGTCCCCGTGAGCATCTAATGCCTGAGGATCTGAGGCGGAGCTGAGGTAGTGATGCTGGCGCTGGGAGCGGCTGCAGATGCAGATGGAGCTTCGCTCGCCCACTGCTCACCTCCTGCTGTGTGGCCCGGTTCCTAACAGGCCAGGGACCGGTACTGGTCTGCGGCCCGGGGTTGGGGACTCCTGGCTTGAGGAGTCTCAGACATCTTTATTTCTAGTTTAACTCATTAACTGAAGTTGACATTATTTACCAATATAGGAACTTGTGTGATTGAATTCGTGTTTAATATATGTCAGTACTTCCGCCTAAATAATTCGATCCCCAAAACAAAACATGCTTATTTAGCAGCCACGCTGAATAATCCTAGATGCATTGGAACCGTCCCACAGGGTTACTCTGACGTAAAGAAATCTGGGTCACAGAACTGACAGGTGCCCACGGAAACCCGGGAAGGTTAGTTAACGCCCCCTTCTTCCCACACAGGACGCCGCAGTGACCCACAGCTGCTCGGGGACTGCGTCGAGAGTCTCTGCAGCTTGGCCAGGGACTTGCGTGATGACACAGGTGCTCGCGATGACGTCAGTGTGCACGATGACGATGTCGGCGGCACGCATGCTCCCAGAGACAGCTGTGCGAAGAGCTGCAGGGACCTGGAGTCTGCGGCCAGGTCGCTCCTCTTCTGTCTGGGGACTGATGGGGGCCCCGGGCTGCTGACACCCTGAAAAAGCCCAGGAGGTTGGCGACGGTCCATGTCGGGCAGGGCCGGCCACGCAGGGGACACAGGCGTGTCCCGGTGCGGCTACACACTGCCTTCCCAGCCCCAGCTGGGCTCATGGCCCTGACCGCGTGTGCCGAGGACGTGGGCCCGAGCCGATGGAGAGTGAGTCGGTGCCAGTGGCCCAGGCAGGCATGTCGGGCGGGCGCCTCACACAGCCCAGGGTACGCAGCACGCTCTGTGATGTCAGCCTTTGTCTTCAGCGCCGACACGCTGCCTGCTTGGTGGTTGCCCGGTTCGTGGATGGTTCTTCGTCCCTGGGCGCAGACGGAACCAGCAGCAGCCGAGCACCTGTGCTTCCCCCCAGGAAGGTGGGGACAGGGGAGCGGGGGTGACGGGGACAGGGTGAGCTCGGCCACGTAGGCCTCGCTGCGTGTCCACGGGCCGAGCGCTGGGTGCTCAGCTGCTTTAAAATGGTGCGGGGCAGCAAACTGCTTCTTTATTTTATTTTCTTGGTCTGAGTGGGTGTGGGTTCTGAAGCCGTATCCGTGTTCTCACGGCGATGCTCTGCCGAGGGCACGTGGGCTCCGTGCACACAGGACTTTTCCCGAAGGTGGTACCTGTTCGAAGAACCTAAACTATCAGTAGTGTTTTTTATCCTAATGTTCAGTATTTAATCTTTGTTTTCTGCACTTGCTCTCATGACTTTATTGGTCAGAAACCAGTGTCTTCATAAAATTTTGTATGTTTATATATTTATACTCTGAACTGAATTCTTATACAGTATGTAAATGAGTGAAACTATATTTGCTATTGGAATCATGTACACTAATAAATAATATAAAGGGAATGCATTTAATAAATCTTGTCGGCTGGAGAATTGTCTCTTGGTCTAAGATTTTTTTGAAATATATTTTATTTTCTTCATTTGTTTTATTCCTGACTCAAAATTGCTGATAACAGCTATCGCAGCATGCAAATCAAACACATACCTAGGAAACACTAAACATATTAACATCATTATGACAACTGCTTAGATTTTTTGAAAAACATCGCTCTGCCCCTTTAATTGGTCGTGTCTAAAATTATTTCCCCTCGAGTGCTGTGGTGGAAAGAGCATGAACTTGAACTTTGAGGTTTGACACATTTCTCACACACCTGGGGTGTGAACCCCAGCAAGGCTGCTTAGTGTCTGGATGGCCTCGGACAAGGGGCTTGCTGTCTTCACACCTATTTCCTGGTAGAAAGCAGAGTGATTCCCATGCCACACATTGAGCTTAAAATGAAGAAACCTTAGGAGTAAGTCCTGGCGAGTAGTAGATGCCAGTATCCATTAGAGTCTGCCCGTCGTTCCCGGCACTAGCTGCAAAGCCCTTGTCATCGTGCATACAAGGCCACACGGTGCAAGTCCGTGTCAACATTTTACGTGTACCAAGTAGGCTTGCAATCGTTTCCACGTGACATACTTGAACATGTATCTGCCACCAACAGGCCCCACGATAATAAGAACTAGAAGGAAGGAAGGTATAGGGCTGTGCGAGTGTCTGTCATGAGGTCTATCTGAAATTTTTAGCAAAATATTTAGTCTACTTAAGGAATCAGCATACTCTAACCTGCAGGGCCTGTGTGCTAATCACTATTCTGAGGGTTATCTAAATATAAATCCCAAAGGCTATGGAGCAAAAGTGGAGAGACTATTTATTCAGGTGACAGTTTGCAACCTGAGGGAACCTCGTGGTGGAAAGAGCATGAACTTGAACTTTGAGGTTTGACACATTTCTCACACACCTGGGGTGTGAACCCCAGCAAGGCTGCTTAGTGTCTGGATGGCCTCGGACAAGGGGCTTGCTGTCTTCACACCTATTTCCTGGTAGAAAGCAGAGTGATTCCCATGCCACACATTGAGCTTAAAATGAAGAAACCTTAGGAGTAAGTCCTGGCGAGTAGTAGATGCCAGTATCCATTAGAGTCTGCCCGTCGTTCCCGGCACTAGCTGCAAAGCCCTTGTCATCGTGCATACAAGGCCACACGGTGCAAGTCCGTGTCAACATTTTACGTGTACCAAGTAGGCTTGCAATCGTTTCCACGTGACATACTTGAACATGTATCTGCCACCAACAGGCCCCACGATAATAAGAACTAGAAGGAAGGAAGGTATAGGGCTGTGCGAGTGTCTGTCATGAGGTCTATCTGAAATTTTTAGCAAAATATTTAGTCTACTTAAGGAATCAGCATACTCTAACCTGCAGGGCCTGTGTGCTAATCACTATTCTGAGGGTTATCTAAATATAAATCCCAAAGGCTATGGAGCAAAAGTGGAGAGACTATTTATTCAGGTGACAGTTTGCAACCTGAGGGAACCTCTGGTGGGAACCCAAAAGGCATCCCCCACCCCTGTCCCCCACACCCGTCCCCCACACGAGGGGGAGGCTGCCTTTTGCAGAGCAAGTGCTCACCCAGATGCCCAAGGTCTGTCTTATGCAAATAAGTTTCGAAGTTGTACAGTCGGATTGGTCAGTATCACATGATGATTGGTTGGTAGAGAGCAATTGTGATTGGTCGGTGTAGATGTAGATGAGGTTGTGATGGTGCAGCTCTGATTGGATGGGGGAGGCAGCTCTCACTCCATTGGTCAAACCACAAAACCAGGAACTCCCTCATAAGGGAGGGCTCAGCTGAGGGGGCTGACAGGGGCAGGTGCAGGAGGCTGCGCTCACCTGTGGCTTCTGAAGGGCCGGGTGTGTGGGAGGCCGCTGCCAGCACCAGCTGCTGGACTCTGGCTATGAACTTGTGCCCAGTGAGCTGTGAGGAGTCCACTTGGACAGAGGTGCTTCTCCCTGGGGTGCACAATGGCCTCAGCTTCCTGTGCAGGGTTTGTCAGGTAGGCTTGTGCGCTGGGCCTTGTAAGTCGCTGCGACTGTGTGATATAATCAATTGTGAGCGTTTTCGTCTTTACCTGTTACTAGTTTTCAGTGCTCTCAGAAGTGGGGTGTGGGCACCTCGTTTGCTCATCTGAGAACCGGGTTCATTCACTCGTTCCAAACCGGTGTTTAATGACAGGCATACTTCTAGTGCAAAGCATGGAAAAAGCCTAGATCGCCTCAGAGCTTGTTGGGTCCCCAGGTGTTGCTGACATGAGGCTTTCTCCAGAGGGTTCACACGGCACCACCTGTCCCCCCAGGTGACCTGCTCCAGGGACACCCCTGCGGAGCTTAGTAAACCCCGTCTTTGGACCCGAGACCAGCAAGTGAGAAAAGGCTTCTTCCCTCCCAGATTCGGGTTCCTGCTCCTTCGCTACGCCCTTCGCTGATCCGCGGGCCCTCCCCGCACACAGCGGAGGGGACGCAAGTCGGTTCAGGTGGACGGCGAAGAAACAGAAACGTTAAAGGGCCCCAGACCCCGGCGAGGGCGGAGCGGGGACTCGGCCTCCGCCTGGGGAGGCGTCAGCAGCCCTGGCAGAAGCGTGAGTCCCTAAGGCTCACCAGTGAGTCCCTAAGGCTCCCTTTCCCACAAAGTGACTGCCAGCGAGGGCTCGCGTGCCTCTTCTCTGGCGTCGCCCCTGCTGGTCAGCAGATGCGGGGGGGCGGGCAGGTCTGATGATAATGCAGGTGAGGTCGAACGTAATGGAACTCGTTTGTCGCAGATTTCAGCGTTTAACCTTAATTTTTTTTTTTTTTAATTTTTGAGTGGTTCCTTGTGGCATGGGTTATGCTCTTTCTAGTTTGACACAGTCTCCAGGCCCCGCCCTCCCTACCCTTTGTCCCCATTACCACAGACTCAGCCTCTCTTCATCTGATTACTTGCCCAGTTTACCTTATTGCACTAACAAAGACTCCTAGAGTTAGGTAGAAAAGGGAGGCATGGCCGTGGTTGAAGAGGAATCAACCTACCATTTTCACACCTGGGAAGGACTTGACTGGCACTTAACATGAAAAGAAATGCCTTCTAAGGAGCCCCATGGGGGAACCAGAGCAAGGCAGACAGAGTCCGATAAAGCAGTAGAGGGGAGGGACCAGACTCCACCCCCATCTTTGGGGACCAGTGTGGACACCATGAGAGGACTGGCACCCGTCTACGGACCACACCCGCAGTAGCCCTCCTCTCCTCCAGCACCCCGCAGCAAGGACCAGTAGGAACTGAGCAAAACGCATCTGGGGAAAGCATGTTTGTGTGGGCCCAAAGCAATGGGATCTGGGCAGGTGGTTTTTGATGGGCTGGCTGGGTCTAAAGACAAAACGTGGAATATGAGAGAGTGTAGAAGAAGGGATAGAAGGCACCCTCATCAAACGACTCTCTGAAAGCATCACTCGTTTTTGTGAGATGAATGGTGCCCGCCTCCCCAATAAAAAGATAAGCTCAAATTCTAACCCTGGTGCCTGTGAATGTGATGTTATTCGGAAATAAGGTCCTTGCAGATGTAATCAAATTAGGATGAGGTTATATAGTAAGTCCTCCCTTAACCTACTTGATGGGCTTTACAGCTCTAATGGAAAAGACCTATAATGAGACCAATTTTACCACAGGGTAATTGATATAAACAAGAGTTAAGTTCCTACAGCGTCTCATAAACATTATAACAAAACTACATTGAATTAAATGACATTAACCAAGGACCTGCTGTACTGAATTAGGGTGTGCCCCGACCAGTCACTGGCGTCCTTATAAGAAGAGGGAAATTCGGACACAGAGATACGCACACAGGGAGAACGTGTATGATGACAGAGACAGAGATTGGAGTGATGTGTCTACAAGCCAAGGACTGCCAACAGCCACCAGCAGCTGGGAGAGCGGCATGAAACAGAC